ATAATATTGTAGTTTTCTATTTTATTGTTCTTGGTACTGAAAATATTGTACACAATTTCAGAAGTCTGTTGCCACTTTAACGTCTTTTTTTATTACAGACTCGCCATGTTGGCGGAGTACTGGCGCTTAATTGCGTTATTGTGGATACCACCTGCACTTCTAGCTACGTCTGTGGATATACGTAAGTAAATTTTTACTTTTTCGCCAATGATTCTAAGTTGCAATTCCTTCCCTAGATTCACAATATTTCTCATACGGTTTGTAAATTACCCAACCGTGTGCAAACGAGCTAGCGCAATGTCGCCTTGTAACTTTTCTAATTTAAATTTCACGTTACACCGTAGCTGTGTGGCACCGCAGGATACACGCTTTTGATTTATTAAGGTCATACGTCTCGGGGCCGTTTACAAAAACATTACCTAATTAAACTTAAAGCCCTATAGTTTCAGGATCAACTATAATATTTCACCTCCGCGCCAATCAATCTTAAAGCTCGAAATTTACTACCCCACACTGTGAAGTTTAGATAATTTCTACAATGAATTATTTCACACATTTTACAGCGAAATACGTTATTCCGTACTGCACTCCGAGTGATGATGACCCCATAAAATAAAATCGCGCATTTTACGAGCGTTCCGAAATGCAATTTTATTGAAAAATGACTTTATAAGTTCAAATCGCGAGGCTTCATCCCCACATTGTCGGAACGATTTATGCGCTGTTAAGTAGCGAAAATGCGGGACTCCTCTAATTAAAAGTAAACATGTGCAGAAGCAGGGCTTTAAAAAAAGAGGCCACTTTTTCCGTCAAGTTCAAAAATTTAAATTACATTTCCTTGTGCCGTGACGAAGATTAAGCGACATTTTACGTGCCGACTTCTAAAATCCATCTTATCACTTTAAGGTAATACTGAAAATTTATTTGTCGCAACGCGTAGTGCCTTCCAAATTTTAGAATTAAGCTCCTGGTAGTCGAAAGGTAAGTGCTAAAAAGATACTTTTCAAGAGAAAAATATGCGAATGCTTTCAACCTCTACCGAAGTAGTGTAGAAAATGGCGATACTTTTAAGTACAAAAATTAAATTTATTTGACTTACGACGTTTACTAACTGTAAAAGTATAAAAAATTTTATCGTTACTCAGTTTGCTCTTTTAATTTTTAGGACTGCCAATAGTATTTGTGTAGGAGATTTGAGGTGCCGACATTGCGATGCTGCAAAATTAGCAAAACTGCTGTGTGAGAATGTTCTTACATTTGTTTGATGTTCATTAATTGAAATCAACCAATAATCGTAGCCTAAAGTAGTCGGATGACATGTAACTTATGATCGGGCATGTTTAACTTCTTAGCATCAAACTGTATGGGTATGTAATGCACTGGAAGCTTTATGTGGTCGTTACATTATTTTACTACCAAAGTACACAAAGACGACGCCAAATCGCATCAACAACTGCAATAACTAAAAGCGAAACGAACTGAATAAATTGACAAGACTTCATCTACCGTTGAAAGATGGAAATGCATAAAAACGGTATTAGTTACTATAAAATGGTTAGCTAAAGGTGAAAATAGGGTTTGCAATTTATGTTGCACTTTGGCACATTCAATATCTCATGAATGCAGCCGTATTGGATTTTGCCTTTTATAACAGCGAACCGTACATCCAAGTGTTCTGAAAACTCTTAAGGTTACTCCCGACTCGACTTTTGTATTCTAAATTTTTCGACATTATGTAACGCGCTCGGATTTTGTCAACTACTCCCTTTAGACGGTCTAACAGTAGTTGATGAGACATTCACATTTCTTTGTCATTTGTTCTATTGTCAAATCTATGCATACAGACTGTGCATTCCCATTGGAATAAAAAGTAGATATGAAATTGAGACATTTTATGATCTGTTCTTCTACTATCAATATTTGTCTACTTGCACCCATCCATACTAAGCAGGTAATGCAACCACTGATTTTTAATTGTTGTAAATATTCACTGTAAAACCTTTGCAAATAGAAACAGTTAATGAGCTGAGCAAATCACGTTGTGGATACTTCTATTCAGTTTAGTACAATGATATGGGAGGTAGCACGTTTGAGTTTTCCGAGTACATCGATATGAACCTCATGACGCAATATTTCCAAAAACAAGAACTATATTGTATTATATTAAAACATGCAATTTACACATGCTAATATTAGTAATAATAAAAAACCATTTCAATAACTGTAAGCCCTTGACTCTCGTATTATAGTAGGTTTATTACATTTGTGATTAACGTGAGTGCAGCATGGTTTATTCTTTATATTTAACTGTACGTGTGGTTGTGACTGAACTCCTCCTTGTGTCTCAGGATGGTTTAGATTGACAACTGGGCCCGAACGGATTAAAGGTTTTTTTTTTAACTTCTTTTTTCGTTGATGTCGTACTCGTATTGGATGTAAGCAATAAAAATAGAGTCCTAAACTACGCGTTTTGTTAAAAAATATTTTCTATACCTTTTTAAAGTAGACTAAAATTTCTACAATTTGAGGTTAGAGACAGCTCTGTAGGTTTAATACTTATCGAGATACTACACTTCAAAGATTGACATTTTTTTGCAAAAAAAAGTGAAACTTTGAGAATTTTAAATCTACGATGTCACAGTCGGCATTCTCGACTGTCTGCTTTGTTTCAATTCCCTGGCTTCGAAATGCGATCAATCCTCGTTTGTTGCTGTCGTTGGCCAATAATTTCTACTGGGTCATTGATATTTTATTTGACTCTTCACAGATTCAATTAACCTCATGGGCCCCAAGAACGCCACTGATGGATAACAGTTTGTTTGTCAATGGAAAGGGATAGTCGATATCAAAGTAGCACTTCAGTTTCTTCACATGTATTGTCCTCTTATTTCAAACAATATTTCAGCTAGGCCTGACGATGGTATATAAATACCCGAAATCGATCGCCATAGAAAACATAATAAACGTTTGTTCGAAAAATACTTCATACTATAATTATCTTCACATCACTTTCACCTCCAATCTGTGCTGCCGCCATATCAACATGCTGCTCATTGGTAGTACACGAAATATCTCAAAATGTTTCCAGTCTCTCGCAAATATTGTCCTCCCTCCCTGGCTTTTAATTGACCTCATTAACACTTGTTTTATTGTTAAGTCTTACCCTAATCCCGACCAAAATTTTCTTAGCGGCGAATCGTAAAGATTCCTTTTTTGAACATGCTCCATTCTTTAGGTTCCACCCTCTTTTGTAAGCCCTCCATGTCTCTTAGGTACAGCCTAACACCTGTTGAGTAAAAAAGTGACCTGCTGAATAGAAAAAGGGTAGCTTTTTTCAACTGGCGAAGTGGGGCTTCAGTCCTTTACGATTGGATGAATTGCTTTATTAGCGCACTCATCCGAAAATACTGCACCCAGAGCTTTGATGTTGGCCCATTTGATTCTATTTTATCCAGGGCAGTTTTAAATTTGGCACCATAAATTTGAAAAATGTCACGGTCTTTGATAAGTTGGATTGATGACCTGTCACTGGAAGGGAAAGAGAGTTCCCCTTAGTCCATATTGTGTCATCACATTCTTTTTAAAAATCGATGCCCTTAACCTATCCTTCTCACATTTTATAAAATACAAGTACATTTGGTCCCAGCAATATAATGATAAAATACACAGTTAGGCTTTTAGAGAACTAAACAGAGCATTTTTTGGATTTTTAACCCTAATTTACAGGTCTGGGGTGGATCGTACCCCACAGCCACTTTCAATGTCCATAAGTTTTTTTTCTTTCAATATTTTGGCTTGGGAGCTCGAGTACCTTCCAAATTTAGTCTTTTCTATCGTTTTTGGCGTTTTTGGCGTTCTTAGGATTTGAGTTTTTATTTTATTACTACTTTTAGAAAAACATTCAAGGTTACAGGTCTGGGGTGGATCGCACCCCACAGCCACTTTCAATGTCCATTAGTTTTTTTTATTTCAATATTTTGGCCCGGGAGCTCGAGTACCTTTCAAGTTTAGTCTTTCCAATCTGGGGTTCGTTCCACCCCACGCCCGTAAACTTGAAAGTTTTAGTGGCCAGTAAACTAGGGTTAAGATATGTGAGTAAACTATATGACATACAGACGTCGTTCTGTGCTAAAA